GGCTGCGCGGGTGCGCGCCCGCGGTGTGTGTGTGTGTGCGTGTGTGTGCGTGTGTGTGTGTGCGCGTGTGTGTGTGTGCGCGTGTGTGTGTGCGCGCCGGTGCGCGGCCGTGGTGTGTGTGCGTGCACCTAGAGCAGATCATTGGCGAGGGTTTCCAGAAGGTGGAAAATGTCACCTGATTCACACTGAACTTTTTAAATCTCCCCACCCCCGAGCAGACACACACACACATTAGGAGACCGCCCACCGCAGACAGCTAAGACCCCCGTATAGATTTAAAGAGAGACTGCATTCAGAGCCTGACGTTCATTCAATAGAGCGATCATAAGCAGGCTGGCTGGTGCTCGCTCCCTCTCCCTACTCCCCCTCACGCCGTTTCTGTGTCTCTCTCACTCCCTGCTACACTGAGGATGTTAAATCAGAGAATCCACCCGGGCATGCTCTTACTCCTGATGTTTCTCTGCCACTTCATGGAAGATCACACAGTGCAGGGTAAGACCGGATTGTTTATTCGCGGATACGTTTCTTTATTATTACTATTGTTTTTCTGTCTTTCGGGGCAGGGTTTTAGTTTGCTTGCGGTGTTAAACGCCTCTCTCCAAGGTCCAACAGGACAGAAGTTTAACTGTGGGCATGGGGTTGCTTTTTGCCGAGGTGCAGAGGTGTCACTTTGAGTCCTTTTTGGTCGGACCCTCGCACTGCTCTGCATAGGCACAGAGGACAGATGAGGATGTTTCTTGGTATTTATTGCTATTATGCAGCATGAATGAAGAGCAGCATCGCGAGGGAACTTTCCCAGTCTCGGAGCCCGAATGAGTGCTCAAAGTTTGTTGGTAATTTAGCACAGATTTTTATCTCGCCTGCCTGGCGGAAGGAGAGGTGATGATGGGGAGCCCCACGATTACAGCTGACATTTTTAGAAACCAATAAATGGTCATTTTCTGGACATTCCTTTAATATTGGGATTTCCTCCTCCCCCCTCCTTTTTCTTTTTGTGAATAAGTGTTGTAAATTCTCTTGTATTGAAGAGTATGCTTAAATAAGTTAGGGTGGGTTTTTGTTTTCCATACGAACAAAACAGCCCCGAACCTGATATTGACAACTCTTAAGAGCCCTCTTTCGACACAAGGGAATATTGATTTTTAGTTTGGGGGCTTTTTTCCCTTATCTTGACCGGGTTCCAGCCACAACCTGGATGTCTTACCATTGCTTGTTCTATCTTTTTTTCCTCTTTTTTTTTTCTTTTCTTCCCCACTACCGAGCTAGAGTATAACTTAATCTAATGTAGGCAACTGTAAAACGCAAAACTTTTTTTTTTTTTTTTTTTTTTTTGGGGGTTTTTTTTTTAATTTTTTTTTTTTTTTAAGGTTGAACTTGATGATCTCAGAGGTCCCTTCCAGCCATGGTGATTCTGTGATTCTGTGTCCCTGCCAGAGGATATCACTCTCGGAGCAGCAGGAGGGGAGGTGGGGAGTAGCTGAGGATGCTCAAATTTTTTTTTTTTTTTTTTTTTTTAAGGGCGTTGTTTGTTCAATGATTTTTTTAGCGGAGGGGGGGGGTTGGATATCTTGCCCCGCGCCCAGCGACATCTCGGCTGGCCGATCCTGACCCCTCGCTGCGGTACATTCCCATTGGAGTAAGGAGGCAGGATCGCGCCCTGGCTGGATTAGCACCAGAATCAATTGGTATTGAGTTGCTGGAGAAGTCACATTGGTTATTCACGAGAGACTCATCCCAACCAAAACTCTCCAGCTAAAAAAGGGGGAGTTGCTTAGACTAATGTTCTTGGCTTGACTCCACAAATAACAGGGATACTAGTAAAAAAAAAAAAAAGGCGGGGGGGGGCAAAAAAACCCACCACAAAACCCACTCTATCCGTTTTAAGGACAGTGTACCTTCCTCTGAAATGCTTGCGAGAGAGATGGCACCTATAACTTTTCCAGTCTGATCGATTTTTAACACTCTGTAGGAACCTCCTACTCTATGTGCCCCTGTATTTTATGTACTTTGCTGACTTTTTTTTTTTTTTTTTTTTGAGCTCCGCTGACTTATTTTAGTGAAGGAAAGACATTTGTTAATAGAAGCAGCAAAATGTGGAGATTTCGAAAGACTTTGCTAGCAGCAAATGTTCCCAATTCGTGCAGATTGCAAAATGGGCTGGGACTGAAACTCTGTGCGGCACTAAAACAATGCTGCTGTGCAGCCGCGGTGAGGAGGAGAGGGCAGGGGGAGGAGGAAGGAATTTGCAAGCGCGATTTTCTTTTTATTCCCTTTTAAATGCACATCCTTTTCAAGCCTCTGTCACGTGCCGGCAGTGCTCCTTCTGCTCTACATATGGAATAAATGCCTCCGAAAACTGCCTCGTCCTGTTTTGATCGGGTCTTTTCTTTCTTTCTGGGTTTTGGGTTTGTTTTTTTTTTTCCTCTTGTTCTTTTGTGGGTTTTGGTTGGGGTTTTTTGTTTTGTTTTGCGGGGTTTTGGGGTTTTTTTTGTGTGGTTGCTTTTTTTTCTGGTTGTTGGGTTTTTAAGGTTGGTGGGGGGTTTTTTTGTTTGTTTTTTGTTGTTTTTTTTTTAACTGCGCTCCCAAATGGGCCGGAGTAGCTGCGAGTTATGAAATGGGACAAATAAAAGTAAACAGTCTAGTAAAAGTCATTGCACGGCGCACGTGTTGTGTCTGGGTCACTGGTGCCTGCCACTGATCCGGCTGGGTGTCCCGTCTCCCTCCCCAACCCCCTCCCCCCGATTT